AGAGAGAGAGAGAGCGCGCGCGCGAAAACATTGAGAAAGAGAGCGGGAAAATCGCAGTCAATCTCCCAACACGAATCACCATACCACTGCAAGACGCTGCTGGCTTCTTCTGACGTCGTTATGGGAACAGGGGCCTTCGTCGCCGATCTCGGGCCCTAAGTATCGTTTCAAGTGCTACTAGACGAACTCATGCGATATCTAATACTAGCTACTTGCGTTGTTTTCGGACCGGCTTCGTGCGAGAGAATGGAGACCGCGCCATTCGGGATACTTCCACGTTTAAGCTTGAAACGATGATAGCTACAGTCCTCTGCTTCTTCGGCCTCGCTCGAGGGTTTATTCTTTCGCGTCTAATTAGAAATATTCCGCGAGTTTTTGCTCAAGCAAGATTTTACATTTGCTAATGTGCAGATCAATAGTTTCGCGATTGTTGATCAATGTTATTACCACAAGTTCATGATTTCAACATTTATCAATATTTATTAATTAACGCTCATTTAATGTCAATATAAAAATACGATTGTGGGACTTCTCTAGACTATTGGATATCGTTATACAAAATTGTAGTAAAATTATAAAACAAGTTACTTTCTTCTCCCCTCTTAACTGAATGTGAACGGGTTAAAGAGGTAAATTATAGTGGCGTTGATCGATCGCTATCAGTTTTTGAGCAATAATCTTTTGGCATCTGATAAATTCCACATATCACCATTTTTACAAGAGGCGTTTTCTAATCTTCGAGATCGAACCCTTTACTTACTAGCGGCGACCCGTAATTTTTCAAAGGATATCTTCAATCGAAGCAAATTCATTTTGAGATAAAAAATTACTGTAAAATGTTTATTACTATAATTTACAAGCTAATGTCAATGCAATGTTTCCAAGAAAATGTAATTTTCGGTTTCAAGTTAAGAATTTTTTATCTAATTTCCTCTCAGGTAAAATAAAACTTATTAATGGACTTAATTTGATTGATAAAAAAATAGATATTAAATATTATAATCTAAAATGATTCAATTCTTTTATTAGACACTGTACTGATTGATTAACGATCGCTGTAAGAAAAAGAGTTAATTTCTCGTCTGGCCTGTGTGCGATTAATGGAGATCACTGCTACATCTTTCCAAGTTTAAGCACGTATATTGTCTCGCCGTTCGGAGAAACCTGTATGTAAAAAAAAAATGCGCACAAGACACCGAAGCTTGCGGACGAATAGTTTTTTGTGTACTTAAAGAGAGAAAGAGAAAAAATGGAAAACACAGAGGAGGCATGACTGAAAGTAATCATCCTCGGTGGAGTTAATTAAGTCGCTACTAAGCTAATTACGATAAGTTCGCGAGTTTCTCAATGACGGTACGTTTATCGGCAAGGTGTTGTCGTTCGAGGATATTTCTAATGTACCACATATTACGAATCTTTATAGACGTTTTTCGATATCTCTTGATAATAAGCGACTCTACTTGATAACGAGACTCAAGTCTGTAGATCGACGGTGGATACGCAAGTGTGCACAAACGACCAAACTCACTCGTGATCTTTTTTTATTGCAAACCATTGCCTTCTGAATCCTTCTTGTGATATGAATATTCAACCGCAACGTCTCCGCCACGGGGAGACCGTAAAAGCCAGCCGAATCGTCTAGACATGATCGAAAAGTTATTGATTCACATTTAAATTGCGCAAACGGTTAACAATTTAGAAATTCGAAGCATTAATAATTTAATAATTTTACAGCCGAGCTAAATTACAAACCTATAACATTAATTTGTAAATTCAAATTTAATTAACGCGAATTATATAGATATATATGTAAATATGTGTACCTAAATTAGTTTTAATAAATTCCATTAATTTGACAAGTTGAGTTGAAATGGAAATATATATAAACGTTTGGCCGTTTGTACAAAAGGAAATGCCTACGCTAAGCCAAACGCAAACGCCCGTCGAATGTTTCTCTAGAAGATGATTAATCGAGGATTATCGGAGAAATAAATCAATTATTAGCCGTGCTTGACGCGAAACCTCTACAAGCCCTAGCAAACATCTTTATCTCTTTGTACTCAAAAATCGTCTAATCGCGACAAATCTTACTATCGTATTCAAACGGGATTCAGATTGTTGCATTATTTTTATATTTCTTCGTAGCATATTGATTTTGGTTAATGCATTTGTGTGTCAATGAAATTCAATAAAGTGATAGGAAAACGAGATAATTGTCACTCGATGGAATATTAATTGATTAATTCATTTAAATATATATTACGTATCTGCAACGCGATACTTATAGCTTTATAAATGTACTGTTTCTCGTTATAAAAATGTTTTTTTTTCATTTATCTGAGGATTACAACTGCGCGATATTAAAAATGGGATATTTTTAAAAGCTTCAATAACAAAGTAAATTTTTAAAAAATCGATGAACGAGTGCAAAGGGGATGGATGTGGAACTGTCTCTCTAGCCAGCCCCTATATAACGTGTCGTGTAGCGTTAATCCGACAGTGTTGCACAGCAATATTGAGTATGTATCGCGAGATGGTTTTTTCGAGCACTATTTCGAGGCAACGCGATTGAGGGCGGATCTAGCGGATTTTATTATTTAAAGATGTGAGAACTCGGTTACTTTCACGCGAGTGTATCGTGATCATCACTTGTGTATATGTTACATTTGTATGTTACTGTGATTATGAGTTATATATTAGCACAAATATAATATAAAATTGACCCACTGTTGCCGAATCAATCCACTATATCAATTATTGAAATTAATTATTGGTACTCGTGCAAATTAAGTATTGGTATATAACGTTCTCGTTATACGTTGAGTTAATTTATTCATTTGCTTTCAAAGTTGGTCGAATTTATTAAATTTTATTGAATTTTATCAATTGAATTATTAACTGATTCGTTAATTAATTAATTAATTAAAATTGAATTGAACCGCGGCCAAAAAGAATTAATATTTTGAAATATCAAACTCATTTAGATCGCGAAACATATTTTCAAATCCTGCGGAGCTTACGGGGTGGAATTTTCATCTCTCTTTCTCTTCTTTTAGATCCGCCCTTAGAAATATACTATTTTATTAATTTTTGTAGGGAAAGACATTTGCCCGCGATAATCCAAGGCTGCAACAAAGTGAAAAGATGCAATTGCAAAAATTCATATTATAAATATCTTTAAATTTATAAATTCATAAATTTATAGGTATACAAAGAGTTATATAAATTTATTACAAACAACGTGTTCTATCCGCGATAGTGACCTTAGAATCGACGGATCCGAGATAATCGCGGGCAATGTCTTTTCCTTAATGTAATTGATAAGTAAACCGAAGTATGCCGATCTAGTCGAAATGATCGTCGTGTAGCGAATTTACAATGGCAATCACTTCAATTTCCGATTGGTTGGCACGCGATTGGTAATTGGTGGTTGCTTTTTCAGCAATCGGTTTTTATACCGTCTGATTTTACATCAGACACTAGATTACATTATGCCCTTGTTATTACAATTGCATTAAACTATCAACTTGTGGAGTTGACGAATTTCCAACATCTTGTCATTAAAGGATTAAGAGCTTTCATTTGATATTGATATTGTCATTGCTATTAAAAAAAAAGATATTGATATTTAATATATGTAGATATTCTAATTTAATATTTAACGCGGTGCTGAACGGGATTTGATAACAGCAATTAGGTTTAATTAAGATAATTAAATTGGAATGATAATTGAAAACGAACGTTCCGGCTAGAACGGAGCCTCAAGTGCATTTACGACTTATTATATATTACAAAGGTATATAAATATATAAATATGTCGAGACAAACTTCGTTATAGGAGTGATTGTGTCAAGCGAGAGGAGGAGCGCTCCTTTGGCTATTGTTTCTTGTTTGCTGTACCGTAAAACAAAGTCGAGTAGTTGAGTAGCAATGGCGGAATTATCATTTCAGCTTCATGCTACATAGTTGTAGCAAATGCATAACACAGATTGTACCGTACTATTGTAAACGATTAGAGGGAACAGGATAGCGAGTTTGGTGCGGACAAAGGCGCTTTTGTCCGCATAACGAACCACGATCAGAGAAACGAAAATGTCAACAGTTTTTCTGTTCCTTATATTAGATTCTCCGAAATTCTCATGAAGATAAGTTGTATGTTTCTACAAATTAACGGAAACACATGAAACGCTCAATTACAAAGTAACAGTAGTGATAATAACCAATTCGTAATCGTCAGAATTCTTGCAGTAATGTTTGTTCAAGAAATCCCCACTCTCACTTTATTATAATTTTAAGCGTTAACGTTTTATTTGTGACATTTAGATTTAAATCTGCATCTGTAATTTTTATTTTCTTCTCACATACCAAACACACATTTTTGTAATTAATAATCCTGAAAAAATAATCTCGCATCGCGTGGAATTCTGATGAAAAGCGAGTCTAAGCATTCGCTTTAACTGCCATTAAAAGCGAGCCGAAAGTGTCTCTGATCGTGAGGTTCGTTTGTCGAGGTAAAGGAACCAACCCCATCTTTTTGTACCTTGTGTCTTAGATGGAGCCTCGCGTTAGTCCGAAACGAGGCTCGCGAATGAAATTTTGCAAACTTGTCATAACATGTGTGTCGCGATTACTATACTTAAATACTTAAACCGTAGAGCTTCAACGAACAAGCGAATAAAGTTTTATGTTCACCAGAAGATCCTTGGAAGTTTTAGATTTCTAAATTGTTTCCGTGAAGTATCCGTACAACTTTCTTTGCAAGAGGGTCAACAGCTTAAGTGCAATTGAAAATGGATGTAGATCAATGTGAAAAACTTATTTTCAACCCCTTTTAATTTTTACATTGGCTCCACCCACTTTTGGCAACGACATAATTCGCACTGTCCCACTCTTCCCTGTAAACAGTTTGATTTTCGGGATAAGCTGAATTAAACGATCGATAGTTTATTATATAGTTTATTGTAATGTCAATTATATACAAATTTAAAATTACGTCCAGTGTGCTTCCGACTACGCTGACATACCGTTTTTTTTTCTCGTCGATGTGCAATATTATTACAATCGGAGCTATTCCCGAGCTCTTTCACCCTTCATTCAATTTAACGGCGCATCAGCGACAGACTTAAACTTAATGAATCTTTATTTACACTCGAAATTGCATTCGAAAGTTCCTCCAACAGTCTGTCGCCATTTAGATATTCGAAAAATCTTCATTAATTCTTTAAAAATAGGACAACTCTAAAAATTTAATCTTTCTTTCATTTTATTACCTGCTAGTCTTAGAAATGGTACGAAACTGACGAATGAGATGACATGTGAGATCAGTGAAATTAGTAAAATTGAAATTCAAAGGTATTTAAGAAAATCTTTGTAAACGATAATCGTTTGAAATAGTTTCCGGCAAAATGATTTGCAATCAATATATTTTTATGCGAATGCCTGCCTCGCATGTAGTCCCTTGGGAAATGTTCGTATTGAAAGCAACGAGGGTTGATTAAATTTGCAGTTGTCTTATTTTTGTAAAACATCGATGGATTAAAAACAATGCGTTTCTTTTTCTATTGCAGCGGCTTTCCGTCTTCGAATTTTAACTTATCACGATTTTCCTGTTAACGATCCGCACCTTTTCCTTGATTCGCGATCGTTTGGCAGTATGCTGTTGAGTGTCATCGATCATTCAACTTTCTTTTATTTTCACAGTAAAAAAACTTGTTCGATTCTCGAACGCCCACTTAACCCTTTCGTTCTCAGAAATTTATCAAGTTTCTATTGTGCAGAAATTCGTCTTAATGTTATCTTACATTTTAATTTGCAAGAAATTACCGGAATAATTGCAACGATTCCACGAAATCATCAAAATTTTGTGCTGTCAATTTTTGTATATAGGAAAACTTTGCTGCTAAACGCAAGTTTGAGTTTTGTGAAAATTTAGTCACGTTATCATTGAGAAAGAAAGCGTTAATTAAGTATTTAATTGAGCATTTGAACGATCGACGTCATATAGAAATGAATCGTCGTGGCAGCGATTCGAACCATTGTTATAATCATCGTCACTCGGAAGAACGAGAACAGTGTCGGCACGATTCAAATCGACTCGAACCTTCAGTCTATATTACGTGAAAAGATAATGAAAGAGGAAGAGAGGAGGGAGAGAAAGAGAGAGAGAGAGATAGAGACAGAGCGCGAGAAAGAGAGAGAAGCAGATAAAATAAAAGAAAGCGCCATTAATATTAATCATTAATTTTGCGCGCGTAACAAAAACTACTTAATAATTTGTTACAAATTTTATAATTGCAACAAAACGTGAAAGAAACATAAAAGATGATATCAATCTTCATTAATAAAGTTATAATATTTAAATAAAATACACGGAGTACGTAAATACAATACGTCCAAACAAAGTAAGTCGCGTAATACAAGATGCAAGATTGCGATAAGAGAATATAATAAGTTGAAAAATGCACGAAAAAAAGGACAGGGAACACAATCGAGTTCTTTTCTCGGTATGGGGAGATGAAGAGTTCTACTTAACGCAGATTTGTCTATCCATCGAAGACTATGTGATTTTCGGCAGTTGGTCGCAAATTCGAAAGGTAGAAAACGATAACAGTATGGCGTTGCCGCTAACACAGGGGCATAGCGAGTGGAAGCAACGCTGCTTGGCCCGAAACGACCGGACCCCGACTTTTTCCGACCCCATATAAAGGCCAGTAGTCGGCTCCCGGGCTCAAAGTACCAGTTACGCCCCTGCACTAATACGTACTCCTCACGTAACAATAAAAGTCCCACTTTTCTTATCCTTTATCACTTTCTATCTATCGACGATATCACGGTCGCTTCGAAAAACTTTGAAGAATTGTCCCGTCTCCCGTCGAGCGTCATTGGAAGAGATTATTCCTGAAACTTTCCGTTTTGACTTCAGACCTCGCCTCTTTTAATTGCCTTGCGGTGTCCCGACAACGGAATTCCTCTAGCCAAACCGCCGACGAAGAACAATCCGAAGGGTCATCTCGATGCGGTTTCCCGACACTCGACGGTTTCAGGATTCTAATCTAAGAGTTTCGGTATTCGCTAGAGTCTCAGCTTCTTTGCGAACTGGCAATGATTGTGTATCCTCGTCAGTGTCCTGATTATGTCCGTGGTCAGAATGATAATGGAGAGCTCCATTCCGAAGTGATTCCCTGACGCTCGGTTATTTCGGGATCCTAATTTCCTCGCGGCCATGTTAATTCGGCGACCGCGCGGTCTCCTAGAGTCAGACCCTCAGCTCCTCCATGACCTGAGGGTGATTGTGTCCCTTCTTTAAGGTCCCGGTCCCGGTCATCGCCAGGCTCTCCTGCTGGAGCTGGTTAGGACTGATGATGAGGTTCTGGCCGGGCTTGCCGGGCTTCGTGTTCTTCGGTGGCGGGGGCGGCATAGGCACGTGACAGGTATTGTTCTGCAGGTCGGCGAACTCCGGCGGCGGTATATGCTGGATGTGATGCCGCTCGGCGGTCTTGGTTTCCAGTTCGCCGCAAATGTTGTTCGGCATCTGGCCGTTCTCCTGGCGCTTCTTCGAGCAGCTGTGGTGCTGGTGGTTGCTCTTGTCGCGCTGATAGTACACCCCGGCGAAAATGAGCACGTTCAGGATCAGCAGGCTGCAGCCGATCGCGATTGTCACGCTGAGGGCGGTGGAGTACGCCGCGAAGCCGTCCTCAGGTAACGCCGTGGTGTCCTCGAACGTGATGTCGCTGGGCACGGCCGTTGACACGTTGGACGAGGACTTCTCGATGGAGGTCACCTCCAAGGTGGTCGTTCTCGTGGTCGTCGGTAGCCTCTGAATGAATCTGGGTGGCACCTGGAGAATAAGATCCTTCCTGAATCTCCAACGCGACTGATTCAACTTGTCTCGATTTCGAGTTTTAGTTGTACGATTAACGAGCGACGGCTTTCATAGTGACATTGTAATACCTGCTCGGCATCGAGGAGATGATGCGATCTAGGAACATCGTCCGTGCCGGGTTTGTGAAGATCGGGCACCAAGTTCAGCCAAAAAGAAAGGCGGTGGGCCCTGTAGTGGTTCTTCAGTTTCGATTTGAGCTCTACAAAGTCAACGTGAGTAATTTAGTTTATTTCATGCATACTGTCATAATCTTTGCGCCGTGAAAAAGACAATTGTGAGACAAAAGTCCAAGTTTTTCCAATATTAAGTATGTTCTTTGCTTCTACAAAAGGAGGCGAATGAACTAAAAATAAATTTAATATGAGAAAAAGGAAATTAAATTCAAGAGAAGAGAAATAAACTTTTTCAAGACGACGGAAGCGTCTCGTAAGGGAATATCGGAAGAAATGAATACGAAGAGGAAATATTACGAAGGCTCACCTATGCTAAGATATTTTTTGTGGACGGCCTCGTAAGCGGTCCAGTCGATATTTTTAAACTTGGTCCTTTCCGGTCTGGAACCGAGGGGTCCGGGATCGGGGGTGCCCTCGTTCGGATTCCTGACGGCAGACAGGAATTGTTAACAGGAAATATATTATTTTACGCGGGCGCTGCGCGAGATACGCTTGTTCGACAACTCACCCAGTGCGTGCAAAGTTTGTCAGATAAAGTATCACGCTCTCGGAGAGCGCTATCTCGGCCCTAGTGTAGTTCTTCGGCCAATGGGACATGCCACCGACCAGAGGCGCTCCGAAAAAATACGGCAGCTCCTCTCCGTGGATACATCCCGGCCTCTGCAATAATGATCAACGCGATGCACGACGTAGGTAATCGTAAACTTAAAATAAATAAATGTTGAGGTAACAGTAGAAATTGAAATAAAAGTAGGAATTTATTTCTGCCGTTATTTCTATCTTCTTTTCTGTATATTATTTCGTCCTAGCGAGATACGTGGATGAGTCATTGCTTTTATCTCCGTAAAAAACGCGGGTTAGAGGGATCGCTCGTCTGAAAAAGTAAACCTTCCACCGAATGGCCATTTTTATCGTCTGTGTCCAGCCGAAATGGATTTCAAGAAAAAAATTGATTGATGCAATTAGTCTTCCAGCATAACTTCAGCAAGTTTTATACCTTTATTATAGTATAAGTGTTACCGAATAGTATCTTAAGAAAGTTCTAGGAGGCAGAACGTATTCGAAGGCAACAGAATCTTGGCGAAAGGAGTTTAGGGAAGGCGAAACATCAATAGAAGAACGTCATGGCGCCACTTCCGCGGAAGACGAGCGAGAGGAAGAAAGGGTTCGGGATGTTAAGAAAAAAAACTCAAAGAAAAGACCGTCTGTGTACTTTCCGAACAACTGGAATATTCCGAAGAGTATAGGATATTCATCGTATCCCAACAGAAAAGATCCAAAGTTGAGAGAGTGGTTGGGATGGGATGGAAAGATATGCAAAGTACTCTCTACCAAGGTGTTTAGTGATTCCGCGATCGCTCGCAGTTATCACGTAGAATGGCGATCACATACGATCCACGTTCATCTCTTTGTTCCTATAAATAAATTATTTGCAAATTGTGGACAAGGCGTTCCCCTTTTCTTCCAGCTCTTGATATCCCAAACCCTTTCTTCTTTCCCGTTCATCTTCTTTGAAGGTGGCGCCACGATCGTTTCGCCTTTCCTAACCTTCGAAACTCATCCACGTGCCTTTCTGAGACAACAATACGATCTGATAATTTCGTATGTTTAGAAATGTCCCATGTTCTCTCTTTCTCTCTGTTCTCTTCCGGCTCGAGATAACAAGTAGGGAAATTAGTCGACTCGAGACGACTCCAATTTTGGCTTTAACGATTCAATCGCTTGGTCCAACCGACAGGAAGGGGGAGGGGAGCGGGCGAAAGGATCGACGGACCGAACTAACCGCGGAATTCAGAAGAATTTTTCCTGGGTCGGGGAATCCTCTTTCACGCTCGATCATACGAAAGCACTCGTGGAATCTGCCGGGGTCCCAGGCGCAGCCACGATTTCTCGTTGAAATTGTAAAAATACCTCGGCCTATGCCGCAAACTTCGCGTTTGCCTGCCATTTTAACGAGCCCCGGGAGCGCGGGGCTCGCGTCCGCGAAAAAATTCGAATTATCCGCAAGAAGCGGCGGGATCGCGTTTCCGCCCACGGCCGGCCGACTTTCAAAGCGGTTTTTACGCTCCAATTCAAAATACAAGAGCGAAATATAATGCAACGGTGATTATTGAGTAACCGAATTAGCGGTTGATGTTAACAATTACAGAACAAACCGTCGGGATGCTTAATGAATAACAGCAGTAATCAAGTCACGATTAAATTATCATTCATTAAGCGGGAAATAATTACTCTTTTGATCACGATCGCTTCGGCGAATTAACGCACGCGTATTAACATATTAATCTGTCACGGCTCATTTTACAATTACCGATTAGCGATCTCCCGGCTGGAGCGAAATACGAAGCTGGTACCTCCTTGAAATATCAGACACGTTAAAAATGTCTCGATGTCCCGAGTTATGTGTTTCACTTCGCCGGCGCGGGAATATGAAATATCCAGTTAGCGTTATATTCCTGCGAGGCATACGTTTCGCGAATGCAACTGAAACCGTTTTTCTGGACGCGGTCGTGCAGACGCAATAAGTTCGTTGCAGCGTTTACGCGCGATCCTTATTCTTCGTTGGCTTCGCGACGCGAGGGCGGCAGAGCGGGGCAGGGGGGGGGGGCGCGCGTTGAACGTTTAATGCACTTTCATTTCGCCGGTGACGGCAACGGTGATCGCCAGGTCGAGGTGCCAGACGATATTCGTATGCAAAGTGCACCGGGTGTAAGGCATAAAGGTGCCGGCAGAAATGACGGCGCTCGAGGGGGGACGGGGTAGCGGGGGTGAGAAGTAAAAAGTGCGCGGAAGCTGCAGGTGCGAGGCGAACGTGGAATTTCAAATCCTCCTTCTCCTTCCCGCCGTCGTCGTTCGGGCTCCTTTAAAATTCCGCTTCTCCGCCGTTGTTTTTTCGAATTTACGGGGAGATAAATACGGAGGGTGATAATTTATTCGGCAAATTTTAACCCCTCGCGAAAAGTCGAAAGGGAATTCTTTAGAAGGGGATTATTAATTTTTCCCCAAGACCTCGTCGTTTTTCTATTTCCACCGTATTTCCCGTATTACAATACGCGTTTCTGTGGCTCCGTGCGCGCCGCGGCTTGCGGACCATCCCCCGACGTCCGTCGCGGCGAACACGCGCAAGAATACGTATCTTGAAATAGTATCTCGAAATTTCGCGCGACGGTAATAACCGATCCCATCGGTGCAATTTACGGATTTCCTTCTACGCATCCGTTTCTTGTTAGACACCCGGATGAGAGGAGAGTGGATATATTGCTAATATATATGTGGCATTAATAATCGCGCCACTGAAATTCATTCAAAGTTCGAAACTAGGAGTAGGCAAAGGAAAAGGGAATGGGGGAGGAACGGGGCCGTGCGCCCATCGTAAGTTTCTGAAATCAGATATGAGCAAGAGTCGCCGCCATGTTGTCGCATTTCCGGCGAATCCCAACTTCTGTTTCGTACATGGGCGTTAGAAGTGACTTAAATAGATAAATGATACGAAAAATAAATGAGATTATGCATCTAGATAAGTTTATCTAAATAGCTTTATCTTCGCCGCGCCACTTTTTATTAATAGAACTTTCTAACACGCGGCTATTTTATATTTACGGTCTGTAACGATGCGCAATTTATTTCACGGGATTTATATTATTAAATTCTGCAATTTGGAAGATGAATTGAAACGATATGAAAAATATCGCGGATATTAATATGATAATAATTTAAAGTAAGTACGTACAGTATCACAAATAACTAGATGTGTTTCTTTTCCGATTATTCCCTAGATTTTGTAGTTTCCTAGAGTCTTCCAATTCTTTCTCATTTCAGCCTGCACGACAAAAAGTATATTCTGATAACAAACCTGAGGATAGTCTCCGAATTTCGTTTGATAGTCGAAGACATATAGATAGGAGTTCCTATGGGATTGGCTGTGAAGATCCGCGGTTCTCGTCGCTGGAGCGACCGTATTCGCATCCCCCAGGGCCTCTAGAGTTTCGTCCCTGGAAAAAAGGTGTATATATCCTTTTTCATAAATATACTTCGCAGCCTCGTCCCGAGCTCTAACTGAAAATAAATTTCAGAATGGATAATCGAAGTTCAATATAAAATGCAATTGAAAGAAATCCTGTGAAATTTAAAATGGTCTCTGTAATTACGCGCTGTAATTTTATAACAAGAATAATTGGTACATCAATCACGGTGGATCTCGAAATAAAAAATACCAGATACTCTTTTGACAAATAAATATTAATTTATAATGTATCTGGTAAACAATGAAATAAATATATTGTATGTAAAAATCTAATGAGTGTATGATTACATAAGTATTGCGAGCAATTTATTTATTGCCAATAAAATAAATAATAAGTGAATATAAATTAGAATAAATACACGACTGTAATTAAAATAAATAATGGAGTTTATTGCTATAAAATTTATTTTCAATTAAATTTCCTCGGGCAATGTGTACCTAATATTGACGGGATGTTGCACAGGTCGTTCCCAGTCTGTATACTCATTTATTATAGTTGCCAGGATCTCCGGCTGGTGATACGTGTACGTGTTCCGCACGAATTCGCGCAGGATCTTTGTTCTTCTGTCGGCCTCAATGCCATACTGAGCGTCCTCGGCGGTTAGCGAAAAATACGCCTCGGAACGAACAACACCCACCATCAGATCGTACCTGTGAATTCAAAAAATTTTCTTCCTGCTGTTAAAAGGGATAAAATAAGTTTTACGCGTGTCAGGTCCGCGATTCGCAGAGCTTTTTTCGGGCTTGTAAACTTCGTCGCAAGGTATGAAAAGGTTTCTCGAGATATTTTAGTCGTGGATCCTGCAATCTTGAAGAATCGTTCTCTTTTTTTGTAGAATTTCCTTGCAATATTCGTCCGATTGGTACAAGAAAATCTCACAAATAACGGAAAAATTAAGGAGATGCTGGAGTGACTCTACACTTTTTGTACCTTTTGCTCTATTCACTCAAATAAATTATAGGTCAGGTAACCTCCCTGGTGAGAAGTATTCTCAGAACTGTTTATATTTTTTAATAATTTTTGTGTAAATTTCAAAACTTTTAAGATTTTTTCAATAATTTTTACACAATTCTTCAGATTCCCAGCAAACACCAAAGTAACAATTACATAACACATGCGTGTGTCACATTATATTTATATTGATATTATGTAACTGTTACTTTTGGTGTTTGCTGGGAAAGTTTGTATCTTTTCTACAATTTTTTTACATGTATGAATTCTGAAATATTTTGAAATTTTTTATTCTATAATTTCAAACATTTTTATCTTAGAGTTGTGAAAAATTCTGGGAAAAGAAGTGGACTTTCTCAGTAGTTCTGAAAAGTGTGTCAATTCGTATAAAGATTCTAAGAAAAATTGTCACCAGTGCTACAACTTATTTAAGTGAATAGCTTTCTTTTTAGGCTTCTAAACTTATAGTTTCAACAATGCCACACTGTTATCCCTTGACAAAACGAGTACAAACATTTCCACATCTGCATTTGAATTCGCAAGATTTTTAAATAGGATCTCGCATTGACACTTTGAACACAAAGTGGAAAGATTCTTCGACCTTTATAGTCTTGTTTACGCGAGCTTTTCGTATTTTCCAACAAAGAATGAAGGAGTTATTCTCAACGTTGTAGGACGCGATTTTATCTCCCTTCGTGACGTTCCTGCAAAACTCGGGTATTGTTTCTCACGCTATTTATTTTCTCTTGCCCCGACGCTCGATCTCGCTAGTTATAACGATTGAGGCAAAAAGAGGAGCGATACCTCGACAGTTTCGCCACGACGTCCTTCCTCAGAAGGATGTTGTTGAGCGTATTGATCGTGTCGACTTGCAGGGTGTAGTCCTGATCCTCGGGATCGCCAGGATCGATCACGACGCCGTCTATACTCGGGCCGAAGGCTGGCGCGAACTCCAGCCCTTTAACAGGTACCGACACCAGTTCGCTCAAGGACATGTCTCTCAGACACTTCAACAGGGCCTGAGGATCTTCCGCCACCTGCAACAGAATAAAATCAACTCTTCAGACGAGTAATAACCATCAGAATCCTCCATTACCACATTTTAGTTTTTATACTCCTCAGGAAAGAGAGGAGAGGAGAGAGGAGAGGGGGGCATAAACGTTTTTCAATATTTTTCAATCTTCTTTCGGAGAAAATGAGGTAACAATTATTTTTTTAGTCTAAGGGGATGCTAGACTGCACCTTTTGCACTTTTTGCATCTTGAACTGTCAATTCATGAAAACAGTTAGTGTGATACACAAATTATAAGGCTTATGCATACAAATGGAAAGTGTCCCACTGTTCGGACCAAATCAGAGAACAGCATGGTATCATATTGAAACTAAGTTTAGAAGCCTAAAAGGAAATCTACTCACTTAAATAAGTTGTAAGTTGTGGGTTAGGTAACCTATAACTTATTTGCGTGAATAGATTTCTTGTTAGGCTTCTAAACTTAATTTCGATGATACCATGCTGTTCTCCGGTTTAGTTCGAGTAGTGGAATACTGCCGGTCTGTACAGAAAAGCCACGCAATTTGTATATTGCACAAATGTTTTCGTGAATTGACAGCGAAAGATGCAGAAGGTGCAGGAATCACTTCAGCATCCCGTCAAGCAAAGAAGATGGAACTTTGAAAACTAGGATTCGGGGGAGCAAATAAATAACGAGATCACATTTCTCGTTTAATTTCGAGCGCACTTCAACGGAATCGTAATTGCGCCTAATTGCAATAATAAAACGTAACTGCGTAAACGGTGGAGATGAAACTGCGCTTAATTACAATCATGAGCAACGGCAAGAATTGGAAGATCCCAATTAATAACGTCCCCCGACGTTCTCTCTCGGAAAAACGAAACTCCCAGATTGGCCGCGGAACCTGTCATTACAATTAAGGCCGCGGGATACCCCATTAACTCGTATCATTTAACGCGATTGTGCCGGGTAATTTTATCGGAGACGAGGATCGGCACAATCGGCCGGCGGTTCCGATAGAGAACGGCCGGTTGTCCTCGCCCACGTGCGAGGGCGCGGGACCAATTTGCACACACGCATTTAGTCAGCGGGCGATTCGACATTCGATTGCGGCTGGCCGCCGTGTTCCGCGTTGGTAGCTGGATTTCCAAAGACGATTACTGACGTTAAAGCAATTCATTTGCGTGCGACCCTCGAAATTAAAGCGAATCCGTCGAGGCCGGACTCGGTCCGGCGCCCCCGGACGCCCCGGCGCGGCCGCAGCGCCGTTTGAATCCCGCTGAGCGACGCACGAAAACCTTGTTTACCCTGCCGGCGGCGTGTGCGATGCCGACGCGCGGGGTGGCGTAGCCTCGTTAAGGCACCCGCCTTGTACCGACGGTGTATCCTTGCCGGGAAACGCCGCCGGAAAATGTCGACCCTTTCTCGAGTCCGCACATCAACTCCGGAACGCCTCCCGTTATGCCCGGGCGATTTGCCACGTGAGTTATTCCGTGCGTTGCGCGCAGTTTATCGCGCGCGATAAACAGATGAAAAGGGAAAGAGACAAAAGGGGATCTGTTTGAGAAGGGAAAGCGTTTGTTTTATCGCGCGAGCGTAATAAAAAGCGTTTAAAACCGTTTAGGACGTCCTCACAGAGAGGATTTCTGGCAATAAAAAAATGTTCTTGCCATACTTGAACTTATCACAATCTCAGGCAGGGGAAAGCAATATTGAAATTGAATCAATAACTCATACTCTCCTCTCTCATAAGTACATAAGATTGGCTTACGATATTGAGATCAGGGTAACATGCTATACATATAAATTTAAGATTGTACATATATTTTCGCATTTAGAATCAATCTCCTCCTGATGTGTAGTAATGCACGCGCTAATCATTTTATTTTGGATTTCAGAATTTTTCATTTAGGATAAAATGCTCCTTTCTCAATAATAAACACGATCGCCGCTATGTCGATCCTACACGGAGGAAATTTCCTTCTAAATTTTATCATGTAATCGTGGGACAACGCGGCATTTCAAAGAATCTTATAAGTTTTTGAAATTTTATCATACATTTTACCAAATAGCAATTATACTTAAAATTAGTATACATTTTACTAGTCAAATGTACTCTCTAAAAGTCAATCAGTGGATTTTCACTGAAAACAGTGAATAGTCGCTGATTTACAGCGAATAATCTAATTCCCAGTTATAAATATATACTACTGAAAATCGCAGTGATATGCTTATAACTGGAAATTAGATTATTCACTGTTTTCAGTGATAATCCACTGATTAACCTTTAGCCAGTATGGACAATTTAAAAAAACTCTCATAAAGTTCCTCAAAATGCCACGCTGTCCCACGATCACACGATTTTCAGGATAAACTTCAAGAGAGAATTCTCTTCGTGTATTTATTATGATAGATCAAAGTGTAATAATACGGAAATGTTTTCTGTCGGTACACCCACAGAAAAAATTTCCGGATCCAATACTATTACACTTGAATGTATCATAAAATAGAATCGATACGGCGCCAATCATATCGTATAGAAAGGAATATTTTAAACTTAAATGAAAAATTCTAAAATCTAGAATAAAACGATAGTACGTATCGTCTGTTGTCGAATATCGCGGTGCCAACTTCGTGCGTTGTAAGATGGGGGGAAAACTGATTCTAAATGCAAGAATATATTATATTAAGTTACTCTTGTCTCAATATAGTAAGTCAATCTTTTTAATTCGACAGAGGAGAATAAGAATTATTGATTTTATTTTGATACTGTCTTATTTTTATACTAAATGAGGTTGAGAAATATAAATGCGTCAAGAATATTTTTCGTCTCGGTAACAGAAATCCTTTCTGAGGGTGTACGGAGTAAGGATTGCTGTCGGCCTTTTCAATTAATTAAATAAAATAAAGTAGTTAATAATTGTTATATACTTAATAAGCATTATATAATATATCAAATAACCGGTAATAACAAATTCCCTTTCTAAAAAGGAGATGTTACCAGCGCGAATGTCGTTAATGTCGAACAGTTGTGGCGTCTTTTCCGCGATGCCGATTCGTTTTCTCGAAGCGCGGTGTGCTTCGCTTTCCTTTTCGATTCATGGTAAATGAAGATTTGCAATTTAAAAAATACACATTTGTGTACACCAACTGTTGAGGTAAAATCTCTAATCTTAGTAGTTAGATTTTAAGTAACAATGATTTTTGTTTCGATACATTTTCTCGATTGAACAGAAATAATCGTTTATTTAATATTTTAATCGGTACCAATAAGTCCGCGGAATAATACGCAAAAGTAGCAACGTAGCAACAGTCACGGAACAAAGTAATGTACAATAAAATATTAAGTACGAAATTTTCCATTGCGTAGGCAGGCCAACGAATTCTCAACGTTTTTTTGTTGTTTTTCACTCGGCGCGGTATCGTACGACGATTAAGCGGGCCAACGAATGCTCAACGTTTTTTTGTTGTTTTTCACTCGGCGCGGTGACGTACGATGTTTTTGCGTGCCAACGTGTACCCGAAGGTCGCCGCGGTATCAATCGCCCGCCGAACGTCGAGCCGGCAGGCAGTGGCGAGAGTCGCTCCGTGCGTGTTATTACTTTTGCGTTATCGGTTTCCAAGACTCGAGCGCGATGAATGCTGGGATAAAACACTGTTGATTTGCACACCTTTATCAGTAACAAGTAACGTTTCTCGATTAATTATTAAGTTTCTCCAACTTGTAATAAGAAACGAATTGCATGTCGAGGCGACGGCTCTTTATCAACGTGCACGTAGATATTTCACGAGACTAACTCATCTAAAATATGAATGTAAACCGTGATACTTTGTCGCGGTTACATCTTTACGCACCGCGCTTTTAATTATCTATCGATTTCGTGTAATCTGTTCCATTTTCGGGAAAAGAGAGAAATTTGTACGACTTCGACGTTTGCGCTGTAATTCGCTCTTTACCGCAGATTGTGCTTCCGTTGCTCGCGTTGTATTTTATATCGCCAATTCAAAAGTGTTTTATCCATTATCCTATTCTTCCGAATCGAAAATGCAAGTCGTTAGTTTGAGTAATTTGTATAACAGAAAATCACATTTGTTAATAATATTTCGTGCGTTTCACGGTATTTCACATCGCGTACGGGAGTGTCCGAAATTTCGCGCGTTCGATGACTTTTGCGAGTGAGTGTTGTGTAAGTGCAACAAGGAAATCTGAGAGGAGGAGCAGGCCCAGGAGGCATCGGGCAACAGCGGAAAAAACGTGAGGTAAGTGTGTTACATTTTTATGTTATCTGTTACTTGTGCGAAATAAAGCATCTGTTTTGTGTTTTTATTTTATTTATTCAAATAAGTTGAACGAGGATCCGAATAAGTGTTAGAGGCGAAACCATACGTATAAAATTTTGTGAGTTTATATTTAAAAGGAAGACTTTTTCAGTATTCTATATAATTATTTTAATAAATACTTATTTAAAAAATATAAAGTATATTTAATACAATAGTTTCGATTTTATAATTATTTTATAATAATCATATACGTATTTGTATTTTTACAGTTTACATACGTATACAGTTACTGATGTACAACGCTGCTATTGCGAATCGTATCAGTGAGTGATAAATTACTTTTTATTTTAAAGTGACGTTGCGCATACAATTACTTCTTTGCACGTATACAAATTTTTCAAAATACACAATGCTCGACTACAAAGTGCGCGCGCGAAGCACGCGTTTTGTCATTTCTAGTACCGATAAAAAACGAAGGGAGCATTTTGCCATACACCGTTCTATCGGCTTATCGGTAAACGGCGATCCCTTAGAGTGCGAAGATTCCTCTGTTGAACAAATTATACCAGAAAACAAAAGTCACCGCAAGAAAGTGCTCTGTAATACCGAAAGGACAGTTTACGTTCAGGAAGAAAAGCAGAAACCAAATCGGATGAATTTCGCGACTTTCTTCCTCTTATTTGGTTTTCTGTTTCTTTAATGATATCGATTTGGAAGGAAGCTCCAAACGGTACAGAAGCTCCGAAGCATGGGTGTACCGAGGTCTAAGCGGGCCCAACTTGCGGTTCACGATTGAAAGTAACAATCGAACGGGGATTAAAACGTCGATTGCCCCTTTCCGAAAGTGGAAAGTCCCGAGTAGAGAAAGTTGGGCGGCGCGCAAAATGGAAATTGATATAGGGATTATATTATGCCGTTTGGCCCGTCGAACTCTTGTAGCGGGAATCAATTTTCTCTCCGCCTCCGCCCAAAATATCCACGGGGGACTTCGAGTTAGGAAAACACCGCGTCGGAACCGGGTTATCTTTTATTGCATTATTCTTGATGGACGAGAAAGGGGCGACGGGTTTGCGGATATCGAGGCTCTCCACCGACGTGGATCGGGAGGGTCGTCGCTGGAATTTACAGCGGTGCATATCAATTTCCATAAGGAATACGTCACGCCGGCTCTGCGGTAATAAAGTGAGCCAAGTACGTAATTCACTTTTAATAAAATAACCGTCAACCGAGGACAACATATTTTTCATGGCTCGTAGCGCAGGAGTGTATCCAGAGAAAGAAAGAGACGAATGGGGGGGAAAATAAGAAGGGGAGGGAAGGGGGTGGGATCGCGATAACGATTCCGCGCGTGCGATAATGGCGCGGCGGTGTGTTTTATCGAAATTTGAGATAACTATATAATTTCATTTAACGTCACTCCCTGCAAAACTGATTTGCAGAACGTTATTTCGAGCAATCGGGGAAATTTCTAAACTGATAAAATAATTGTCACGGGCCCCGCTATTACGGTGCGCGCGTACCAAATTTGCATCGGCCAGACTGCAATTTGCGAAATTTAACGTCCCTTTTATTGAAAGTGCGCGCGCACTCGCCTATCGGGGCCGATGTCTCGAGTGTATATTAGCTTAATTGAAACGCGCCGTTAATATAATTGGTATTGCGTAATTAATGCTGTAAAAACACCGGGTGCGCCGGTACACTCGCATTTGATATTTTAATTTATGCCCGTCCGCTTTTACGCGGTCGTTTCGCCGCCGATGATCAGAATTATCGCGAATTATGCGAGCCGCGCTCGAAAACGAGCGGGTAAGAATTAACGCGGGGAGAGCGCAAGAGAGAGAGAATATCTATGTGTCGACACGATAAAATATTATATACCAGGTACGCGTTCTGTCGGTCTCGCCCTGTAAACCGGAATAAACGGAATGTATCCGAAATTAACGTCGGATTTCGCGCCGTCGCTGTCACATAAAAAGTCAAAGTCTGTCCGGAGCTTTTGAATGGTGGAAAATTTTCCGCCCGCTTCTTCTTCTCGTTACAAATTTTGTTTTCTGGCCTTGCCGTTTTTAAGCTTCGCCCTGAAATCTGCCAAAAAGTTACGTCCACTTTGAACAAAATTTTCCACAAATCTCGACGAGACTGCCACAACGTTACGTTAAACATATAGGGATGAAATCGAGTTCGATGCGTACTTAAAATTCCGAGTCGAGTAATCAAGCTTTATTTCCTGGCACCCGAGCAGTGCTCATGAGAAATAATATTTAATACAATGTGCTGGCGAAGTAATCGAGTCCCAGCTAGCTTTGGATTCTGGAATGAATACCTGCGAGATTCGAAATGTACTTTGTAAAATATCGCATCCTTTACAAGTAATATTCGAACTTTAGGAACGAAGATTGTTAATAATATAGCAATCGTAGTTTTATTATATCATTCGTATTAAATAGTAAAACTGAAATAATGAAAAATTAGATTTATGATTTACATAATTTTGTCTTAATTTTGTCTCTTTCGATTCGAAGAGAATGAAATTTTCAGCAAAGCATTCATGAAAGATTCGAACACATTTAGGTCAGATTCGACTGCGCTTGAAAGTGCTACTTTTCTTTTTCGAAAGTAATTATAGAGAACTCGAAACCTACTTGCAAGAGTCATTTAGTCCTACACGGAGAGAATTTTTCCTTGAAATTTATCCTGAAAATTATGTAATCGTGGGACGACATGGCATCTCGTACAACTAGTTACTAGTAAAATGTATACTAAATATAATCGCTAGTAAAATGCATGGTAAAATTTCAAAAAACTCCCATAAAGTTCTTCAAAATGCTACGCTGTCCCACGATTACATCGTTTTCCGGATAAATTTCAAGAGAAAATTCCCTCCGCGTACCGCTGTACTAAACGTGCTCAAGATGATCGAACATCTACGTAGACGAAAGACGCGCCGTTATTTTTGCGAGGATGGACTCGCGCAGCGGGAGAGGACGGAGGGAAGGGCTAATGAAATTATAGGCTGACGCGCGGGATAATTTCGGGGCGATCGGGAGGACGTGTTTGTTGGTACTCACCGACGAACAATTTAGGTGTTTGGCGACCTGCATGGCGTAATTGGCGGCGCCTCTCACCAACGCCCAGGGTGAAAGCGCGCTGCCCGACATCAGAACGCCCCGATGGAACAGCAGACCTGCAATCGAGCCGCCGTTCATGTCACGTACAGTGCGTTCCGTAAAGGTTTTGCTACCAGCATCGAGTGCGGTAAATTTTTGCCCTCACAAAGGCCGTTAATTAAAACGTAATTTATTATTCTCGCTAATAATAACAACAAATAAACGAGAGTCTCCCCCCCCCCCCGCCCGTCCCGTTAAGACGTTATTAGTGTATTCTTCACGGCGTTTCGCTCGCTAACTTAAATAGAGGTATAATTAATTATTAATAATACTCTGTAAGATGTTTAGTTCCTAAGTATTTTCCCCGCCTATTGTTATTGTTCCAGCGACGCCGCGCGACGTTGCAATCTCCGTGTTCTTTGTGCGCCAGTAAAACGTTCCCAGGATGCGTTCCGCATCGTGAAAATTCTATATATCGCAGAATCGCTGCGACCAGAGACGCGATTCCGGAATCCGCGCCACGCGCGGAATCTTTGTGTCGTACTTCCCGAAAGGGCCCCGCGCTTTATCTCGGGATTTGCAAATCGTATCTCGTAATGCGAAAGTGTTTGCTCGCGCGGGGAGAGAGATTATGTGTCGCGACGTAGAATCGAATTTCGAGATGATTTCGAGGGGTCGATTCCCTTCGCGGGCGGCACCGCGATATTACCTGAGTAAACGAAATACAATCCGAGTTTCAATGCATAGTAACGAATACTCGTCTCGACCGCTCGATAGATTTATTTCCAATCAACGACCTCCATTACGACGTTATCAGCGAATCCCGCCCTAAGGACGAGGGGCAAGACCCGCCGAACGCGGTTACGTATAGCGCAAGATGACAAAAAAAAAAGATAAACGGATCCGCGGTGTTGAAAAACACGAAGGGCTCTTGCAGGGAAAATTTATGCGACCTGGGGCTCGATTCTTCAATTTATTCGCGAAAGAACCGTACAAAAATCTGCTCTTACAGAAAAGCCGCAAGTTGATTGGTTATCGCGTGACTTTTAGCCAGTCGCGACTTTTCTGTAAGAGCAGAAATTGCGCGTACGTTTCTCTCGCGAATAAATTCAAGAATCTAATCTCGCGCCAGCGTACGGTATGAAAATGACTCGGTTATTATCTACATTTTTACATTGTTTACGTCATTACTTTCACGTTAATATTACGTAAATGAGAAAATTAATAATTAGGTAAATGAGCTCTTATTTGCCGCGGCCGTCGCTCTATTTAATTAATAATTTTTTTTTCTCCACGGAGAAGATGGGGGAAAGTAAAAAGTTGCAAGTTTCCTTCTCCCTGACAGTAATAATAAAATGTACGTAATATCTTGGCGGAACAAAGAGTCGCGCGGGAGCTTATTAGTCATTAATTCTCTCATCACACGTCGCAAAATTGGACATTACGTAAGACATGAATAGGCAAGAGAGCGCACGGTTTGTAGCGCGAAGAAAATTAAGGCGACGCCGGGGTGAACACGACGTTACACAACTCCGTCGTGTTAGTTCGTCTATTATTTAATACAGAAGACCGGGATAAGTCGCTTAATCCCAATTTTGTGAGTCGTTAATCTTGATATCTCGAGGAGACGAGAGATTCCACGAAGGTCTACGTACGCCAGATCTCGACGTGCAACACAATGCCGGCCAAAGGGTGCGCGAGCAACCCTTCCTTATTGATTATATTCACAATTAATTAATTTATCCCGGACAGAGTTTGTTTCAACTGATTCCGACATTGTTATTTCATTGTTTCACGACACGTTATGCTTATCATTCTCGACGTTATTGTTATTACCGAATTTCTCATTTACTTATTGTTAATTATGTAATTATACATAATTAATTCGCACGCAACGCACAAGGAAGGTTTGCTCGATATCCGATAAATTTTCTTGCGCTATCCAATATCTGCATGTTGAGGCAAACGGAGGCGAGGTAAAAAACGACAGATGATGTTTTTCCCACGTGTAATCATAGATTGCTCGGCCAGCTATCTCGATATTCGGCGAAATGTGCCACGGAGAGCGATCCTGTCAGCCCCGATACACGTCGACGTTTGATTCGGTCTCATTCATTTAGCGAAGGAGATACCGGGGTAAACTCTGAATATCCTGGCGGCATCCTCGACGTATTTCCGACATTACGGAATCAAGATGGCTCCGTTCTTCCGATATCCGTCGTCGTTGAGAGGACGACACCGAACGATAAGATGGTGTCGAAGCTCGCGACATTAAAGGACTATTAAAGGATTATCGCCGGCTCAAATTCCGTCGCGTTACTTGGATTTAATGGCAGGTCTCCATAATACCCGAGGATTAATTAATTCCTTCGAGGGAACAAGATCCCAGGAGCCAAGAGTTCGACCAATTAAAGGTGCAGGATCAAAGGAAACGAGGAATCGGGGGTCCGAATATTAGGATTTGGCAAAGAAAAAAAAGCTCTAATCAAAAAAGATCAGAAAAATCAAGAAAGCCAAGATGCGAGGTTTGAAGCAATCGAGAAATTGAAAAATCATGAGATCGGGATTTGAAGATGCCAAGAATCAGAGATTCGAGGGAATAAATTATTCAAGCCGCGGAATCAAAGGGGAGGAGCAACTAAGAAATAAAAAATTCGGGATTTGTAAAAGACGGAATGCGAAATATGAAGAACAAATGAGATGCGCATATTTGATGAAGAATATTAACGGACATGGAAAATAAGAAGGATCTAGGATCAGCTATAGATACCCGAATTGCGGAAAAGAATGAAAAAATTTTAGCATTTCGCGCGAATACGGAACAGATGGTTTTAATCCAACGTTAACAACTCGGGAGAAATCTCGAGAATTCTTTGGAAAAAATGTAAGGATCCACCGCGTGAATTCAGACGTTGTTCTTCCTTATTATTTACATCGCCGTATCGCGGTCAGTTTTTGCGGGGCAAGAGCACCAGCTCGTGAAGGAGAGATATGATATAATTTTTTGACCGGACACCGCTCGCTATTATTCTTCGTCGTATTCTTCGACGAGTCACGTGGCTGCGGCTGGTTTTATCAGCCCGAGGGGACAAAAAAAACAGAGTATCGCAATCTGTTTCGGAACCGCGAAGCTTATCGTCGGAGGACCTTCTGGATGATAATTCACTACAGCTGCGAGTTGTCAATGGTGGCGGGGCCAGCTGATTCCTCCATAATTTATGGCGTCTGGTAAACCACCCTATTATTCCTAGCTTCTCCGTATCGTTGTCCCGCGCGGCTTCTCGCTCTTCGACCTCCACCCTCTCCTCCTCCTCCTCCTCCTCCCCCTGCCTCTCACAGTCTACCGTTTCTACGTGACATTATCTGTTTCCATACAACGCGACAAGAGAAACAGCTTTCTATGGGCTACTCTAAGACAATAAACTGTCGCAAGAACATCGCTGTACCTACAAGTATCCGAGACCAAAAGACTATCGAGAATACACCCACAGAAAGAAATTTCCGGATCCAATGCTGTTACACTTGAACGTATCATAAAATAGGATCGATGTAGCGCCAATCATATTTATTATAGAGAGAAAGGAATATTTTAGTCTTAATTGAAAAATTCTAAAATATAGAATAAAACGATAGTATACAGGGTGTCCTGAAATTCGCGAATCAAAATACCATAGCAAGAATGTCGTCGAAAAAATAAATTAAAAAGTTATTTGCCATTTTTCGTTCCGAGCAGTAGTTTTTTTAGATAAAAAGGTTCAAAACTGGCCAATCATACATTACGGTTGAACGGAAACCTGTCCGTGAGTCGCGCGTCGATAGTTTAGTGCACTAACACTA